TTTGTGACTTTTGGTCTACTTTTTATAAATTGCTTTCTCTATATATATATTCTGGACTATTTTTTATATATATATATATATATATATATATATATATATATTGTTTGCAAACTCCCCAATATGTATGCAACTGTAACAGCTTAAAATAATATATATATATATATATTAAATGTATGCAAGATGCAAGATGGATTGATGGCATCCTTGAAGTGACTGGACTGACCTTGAAGGAGCTGGGGGTGGTGACGGCCGACAGGGAGCTCTGGCGTGGGCTGGTCCATGAGGTCACGAAGAGTCGGAGGCGACTGAACGAATGAACAACAACACCACTTGCTCTTCCCTACTTCTTGTGCCACAATACAGATGGCTGCGTGTGCGTGCAATATTTTTTGCATATATATATCAAAAAATAAAACAACCCATAATTCTGGACTATTTTTTGTATTTTTCTCTTTCCCCCAATATATAATTCTGGACTATTTTTTGCAATATATATGTGTGTGTGTGTGTGTGAGCAATTTTTTTTGCAACATATATATATATATATATATATATATTGCAAAAAATAAAACAACCCATAGTTCTGGACTATTTTTTGTAATTTTTTATTTCTCCCTATATATAATTCTGGACTATTTTTTGCAATATATATATATATATGTGTGTGTGTATGTGAGTAATTTTTTTGCAATATATATTATATATATATATAAACAACACATAATTCTGGACTATTTTTTGTATTTTTTTTCTTTCCCCCTATATATAATTCTGGACTATTTTTGCAATATATATATATGTGTGTGTATGCATTTTTTTGCAATATATTGCAAAAAATAAAACAACCCATAATTCTGGACTGTTTTTTGTAATTTTTTTCTTTCCCCTTATATATAAAATTCTGGACAATTTTTGCAATATATATATATATATATATATATATATAAAAACCCATAATTCTGGACTAATTTTTGTAAAAAAAATTCTCCTTATATATAATTCTGGACTATTTTTTGTAATTTTTTTCTTTCCCCTTATATATAATTCTGGACTATTTTTTGCAATATATACAAATATATATATTGCAAAAATAGTTCAGAGTTATATATATATAGGGGGAAATAATTTTTTTTAAATAGTCCAGAATTATGGGTTGTTTTATGTTTGCATACACTTTTAGGAAAACAATTGCATTGTTTTAAGCTGTTAAGGTTGCACACATATCAGGGAGTCTGCAAAAAAAATGCAGAATTAGGAGCTATTATGGGTTTATCCCTTTTGGAGGGTAACTTTACATGTATAAAACCGGTTTACCCCTGCTGTGTGGACGGGGAGGGCTTGCGATGCCAGATTTTGCCCTCCTCCCGGTTGCCCAGGTCCAAACTTTGCATCTTGATTCAAAAGAGAGGCAGCCGAAATGTCCCAAGCAACTAACCGCCGCTGCTCAAGTCAATACACCTCCTTTGGGAGATACCAAACTGCGAACGGAGGGGTGGAAGGATACAAACTTTCCCTTTCATGCACGCGTTGATGACGTCAGGAGCAGGAGACTCCCCCTTTTCTCGATTTGGAACGTTCCAGGCTGTCGCTTTAGCTGGGCTTTGGGACAAACCACTGGTAGCAAGTTCAACCAGGTTTGGCAAGACTTGAAGTTGGAATGCGCGCGCATCCAAAGGAGACTTGGAGTTGGAATGCGCGCGCATCCAAAGGAGACTTGGAGTTGGAATGCGCGCGCATCCATCGTTGAATGCAATGATTCTGGATGGAAAAGCAGAGGTTTGGGTTATTTGGTTCATAAACAACAAGGAAGACTACATGCTTTCTACAGTCCCTTCTGTTAGTTTGCTGACTTCCAGGGGTGACAAATAAAATAATATGAAATATTATAAAATAATATAAAAAACATGAAATAATATAAGATAGGAAATATAATCTAAAAGAAAGAAATACAATAATATAACATACATTAATGGCTTGAGCCATTACTGCTCAAGCAGGGAGCTTTGAGATGGTAGAACAGAAGCTTTCTGAAGCTCTGGGTGCTCTTACTGCCTATTACAGGGAAAACCAGCTGATCCCCAACCCATCTAAAACACAGACATGTGCCTTTCATCTCAAGAACAGAGAAGCATCCCGAGCTCTGAAGATCACCTGGGAAGGAATCCCACTGGAGCATTGCAGCGCACCCAAATACCTGGGAGTCACTCTGGACCGTGCTCTGACCTACAAGAAGCACTGCCTGAACATCAAGCAAAAAGTGGGTGCTAGAAACAATATCATACGAAAGCTGACTGGCACAACCTGGGGATCACAACCAGACACAGTGAAGACATCTGCCCTTGCGCTGTGCCACTCTGCTGCTGAGTATGCATGCCCAGTGTGGAACACATCTCACCACACTAAAACAGTGGATGTGGCTCTTAATGAGACATGCCGCATTATCACGGAGTGTTTGCGCCCTACACCACTGGAGAAATTACACTGCTTAGCCAGTATTGTACCTCCTGATATCCGCCGGGAAGTAGCAGCCAATAGTGAAAGGACCAAGGCAGTGAAATCTCCAGCTCATCCCTTGTTTGGGTATCAGCCAGCACGTCAAAGACTTAAATCAAGAAATAGTTTTCTAAGATCTACAGAGACACTCGCTGGAACACCTCAGCAAGCAAGAGTCCAAAAGTGGCAGGCTCAAACCCAGAACCTCAACCAATGGCTGATACCAAATGAGAGACTCCCCTGGGCACACAGAGGACTGGGCGACTTGGAAGGCGCTGAACAGACTGCACTCTGGCACCACGAGATGCAGAGCCAACCTTCAGAAATGGGGCCACAAAGTGGAATCCATGACATGCGAATGTGGAGAAGAGCAAACCACTGACCACCTGCTGCAATGCAACCTGAGCCCTGCCACATGCACAATGGAGGACCTTCTTGCAGCAACACCAGAAGCACTCCAAGTGGCCAGATACTGGTCAAAGACATTTAATCAACTACCAAACTCACAAATTTTGTATTTTGTCTGTTTGTTTGCTTTGTTCTGTTAGAAATGTAATATAATTGACTGGTTGCCCTGACACAACAAATAAATAAATACATACATACAATATAATCTAAAATATTTTATATCTAAATATAGAAGGAAATATAATCTAAAAATAATATAACGTATAAAACTTGAAATAAAATATATAATATCTAACAATCTAACATGAAATGAAATATAATCTAAAATAAAAGCATATCTCTAAAATCTAATATGAAATAATATCTAAAGGAAAAAATATGATGTAATTATATATATATATATAATGTAACATTTTATATACACATGTAAAATAATCTAACATGAAATATAAAATATTCTAAAAGAAAATAATGTAATATACAATACAATCTAAAATGAATATGTATATCAAAAATAATCTAACATGAAATATAATCTATAATAATATAACATACAATATAATCTAAAATAAAAGTATATCTCTAAAATAATATAATATGAAATAATATCTAAAGGGAAAAAATAAAATATGATGTAATCTAATATATATATAATGTAACATTTTATATATACATATAAAATAATCTAACATGAAATATAAAATATTCTAAAAGAAAATAATGTAATATACAATATAATCTAAAATGAATATGTATATCAAAAATAATCTAACATGAAATATAATCTATAATAATCATATAGCATACAATATAATCTAAAATAAAATATATGTAAAGTATTTTAAATTAATCTGACATGAATAATATAATCTAAATGCAGAAGAAGACAAACTCTTTAAATATATTACGACTGCCGCCAGAATTGTTTTCGCGAGAGAATGGAAACAAGAATTAAATCCGCCCATTGATGGGTGGTTAGATAAAATGAGAGAGATAAAAGATATGGATGAATTTACTTTTTTGCTGAAAAAGAATACCGGGGATACTTTAAAAAGAACAAATTGGGACCTCTTCAATATCTGGAGAGCATCAAAACATTGAGACTACAATAGATATTTTTATTAGCAGATTTTGATAAAAGAAAGACTTTAACCAAGAAGATGCAATGGAAGTCATTTTTTTTATTTTTTGTAGTATTTTTAATTTTTGGTAGTATTTTTTGTTTGTTTTTGTATTTTTGTATTTTTTTCCCATTATTTTTATTATTTTTCTACTTTTTTCTTTTTTCTTTTTCTTTTTTTTCTTATATCTCTCCTATTTCTCTTTTTTCCATCTCTTTCCTATATTTTTATTGTTCTCACTTTTTTGTTGTGTTATTATTAAAACTTAATAAAATCTTTTCAAAAAATAAAATAAAATAATATAATCTAAAAGAAAAAGAAAATAATACAACATATACAATATCAAATAAAAATATATTTTCTAAAATAATCTAACATGAAATATAATTAAAATAAAATAAAGTAATATAACATACAATCTAAAATACATCGAAAACAATGTAACATAAAATATAATCTATAAGAAAATAATATAATATATGCAATATAATCTAAAATATATAATATCTAAAATTATCTTTAAAAGTCTAACATGAAATATAATATAAAATAAAAATAATACAACACATTATATATGTGTGTGTGTGTGTGTGTGTGTGTGTGTGTGTGTAAAATATGAATATAAAGTGAAACATAAAAAGTTGCAACAAGGAGACTAAATGCTTCCTAAATTTCCTTCTTCTGTAGTTTATTGCCTTCCAGGAGTGAAAAAGTAAGCAATCTTTTAATGTATAAGTAGAGAAGCAACCTTTATTGGGATATGTTTTATTTATTTTTATTGACTTTGTTTTGTCATTATTTCTTTGCTGTTGGTTGGCAGCAAAAAAAAAAAGTTACTTGGTCCCTTTAAGAAATGGCCCTGGGCGAAACGTCACTTCCGCCTCCTTTCACTTTTGTTTGTGTTGCCCAGCAATGGCAGGGCGGAAACAGGAAGTGGCCCTCACCCGGCCGAATCCAGTGCAGCCACCTCGGAGGAAGGCGGATCCCACGGCTTGTCCAGTAAGCGCGCATGCGCAATAGAAAGAGACAGCCCCGGTGTCAGCGGCAGGAGGAAAGGCCTCGCCTCAGCGACGGCGAGATGTCGGATCTCGGCGAGTGGTTCCGGAGCATCCCGCTGATCACCCGCTACTGGTTTGCCGGCTCCATCGCGGTCCCCCTGTTCGGCAAGCTAGGCCTCATCAGCCCCGTCTATCTCTTCCTGTGGCCCGACGCTTTCCTCAACCGCTTCCAGGTAGGGTCGCGCCGGACTACGGGTCCCGGCATGCATTGCGCGCCCTGGATCATAGAAACACATAGAGGCTTGGCGCGTTGCGTCTTGGGAAGTGTAGTCTGTGACACCTGCACGTTGGGAATCGTAGTTGGAGGGGTGTTTCTTTCTTTTCTGAGTGTCAGAATGGTGTCAGGAGAGGGAGGAACATGATTAGACTTTGCCACAGAATCACAGAGTTGGAAGAGACCCCAAAGGCCATCCAGTTCAACCCTATTTTGCCACTCAGGAAGGCACAATCAGAGCACCCCCAACAGATGACCAGTCAGTCTCTAATTGAAAACCTTCAGAGGAGGAGACTTCACCACATTCCATGGCAACATATTCCACTGCCAAGCTATCTCCCTAAATTCTTCCTAATGTTATTATTGAATTAATCATAATAATAATAATCTTTATTTGTTATTATTATTATAACTTTATTTGTACCCCGCTAGCATCTCCCGAGGGATTCGATGCGGCTTACACAGGCCGAAGCCCCAAAACACAATACAACAATACAATACCTAAAGCAAATTAAAAACAGTTAAGCAGAAAAACAATAACAGTAACAATACAACAAGACACTATTAAAACTGGGCCGGCCAGAGTAGGGGTACAGGATTAAAAGTGCTGATGTGGCGGGAGGAATGTAGGATTATAATATAAGTGCAGTGTGCAGTGATCTTGGTTCTACTAAAGTGCTTCTAGGATTTGGTGCTGGAGGTTCCTAATCTGAAAAGGCACATCGGAACAGCCAGGTTTTCAAATTCTTTCTGAAGACTGCCAATGTAGGGGCCTGTCTGAGATCTTTCGGGAGGGCGTTCCAAAGTCGGGGGGCCACCACAGAAAAGGCCCTGTCTCGTGTCCCCACCAAGCGCGCTTGCGACGCGGGCGGGATCACGAGCAGGGCCTCTCCAGATGACCGGAGTGAGCGTGTGGGTTCGTAGACAGCGATACGGTCACGCAGGTAGGGTGGTCCCAAACCGTTCAGGGCTTTGTAGGTAAGCACCTGCACCTTAAATTGGGCTCAGAAAATAAACGGCAGCCAGTGGAGCTCCTTAAACAGGAGGGTTGACCTCTCTCTGTAATGAGCCCCGGTTAACATCCTGGCTGCTGCCCGTTGGACCAGTTGGAATTTCCGAGCCGTTTTCAAGGGCAGCCCAACGTAGAGCGCATTGCAGTAATCCAATCTAGAGGTGACCAAGGCATGGACCACCCCGGCCAGATCAGCCTTCGCGAGGTACGGACGCAGCTGGTGCACAAGTCTCATTTGTGCAAAAGCCCTCCCGGACACCAACATCTCCCCAAGAGGACTCGGGGTGGCTTCCATGAGGCCAGGCCCAACAACACAGCAATGCAAATAAACAACATACAACGACAGTAAAATATAAAATAAAATACAAGAAACAGAATAAATAAACATAAACAATGTAAAATCACAATAATTTAAATACAGAGAATAAACCACAGTGGGCAGGGCTGATAGCAAGGATTAAAAGTTTAAAAACACTGGCTGAGAAGGCAATGTATTGCATCTGGACAGGGGAACAGAGGGACGAAAGTAGGGTTTAATTGCACTAGTAGGTAGAAAAGGGATCTGGGTGTTTTAGCAGCCCACAAGCTGAACATGTTTTGAAGTCCAAAACACCTAATGGGCCCAAATTTGCCAATGCTTGTTTTAATATAACAGAAAACAAACTTGCCCCCTCCTCAGTGTGACATCTTTTCAAATATTTAAACATTATTACGCTTATTATATTTATACCTCACTTTATCTCTCCCAAAGATACTCAAAGAGACATAAAAGCATTAGTACACAATTTAAAACATACCAACATTAAAACAGAATAAGACAAACTGTATTAAAAATCACAGTTAAAATCCATCAAACATATTCAAAGTTAAAAACGATACCATTCCCTGATTAGATCTTAACCACCTTCATCTTTAAAAGCCTGTATGAACAGAGGGACAGCAGGGAGGTGGCCATTCTGGCTTCCCTGAGAAGAAGAAGAAGAAGGGAGTTCCAAAGTTGAGGGGCAGTCACCGAGAAGTAAGGCTCACTCTCATTCCCACCAACTGAGCTTGAGATGGAGGTGGGACCGAGAAGGGCCTCTCCTGAAGATCTGAGGGCTCGAGCAAGTTTATACAAGGCATGTGGTCAGCCAAATAGCCTGGACCTGAACCGTCTAGGGCTTTAAAGATAATAACCAGTACTTTGAATTGTGCCCGGAAACAGTCTAGCAGTCAGTGGAGCTGCTATAGCAGGGGAGTTGGCCCGCCCCTGTAGCCAGTCCCAGTTAGCAACCTGGCTGCAGCTCTTTGTACTAGCTGAAGTTTCTGAGCACTCTTCAGAGGCAGCCCCACATAGATTGCATTACAGTAATCCAGATGGGATGTAACTAAGGCATGTACTGCCGTGGCCAGATCTGGCTTCCCAAGGGACGGGCACAATTGCCGCACAAGTTTTAATTATGCAAAGGCCCTCCTGGCCACCGCTGACACCTGGGCCTCCAGGTTCAATACCAAGTCCAGGAGGACCCCCAGACTGTGAACCTGTGTCTTCATGGGGACTGTGATCCCATCCATCACAGGCTGGATCCCCATTCCCTGGTCTGCCTTACGATTGATCAGGAGTATCTATGTCTTGTCTAGTTTAAGCTTCAATTTGTTTGCCCTCATCCAGACCATTACTGATAACAGGCACAGGTTTAGGGTCAGGACAGCTCCCTTGGCTGTAGGTGGAAAGGAGTAGTAGAGTTGGGTGTCATTCGCATATAGGTGGCACTGCACACCAAAACTCCGGATGACATCTCCCAGCGGTTTCATTTATATGTTGAACAGAATGAGGGACAGAATGGAACCCTGAGGAACCCCACAGGTCAATGGCCAGGGGATCGAACAGGAGACCCACAGCATCACCTTCTGGATATGGCCCTCCAGGAAGGACCAAAGCCACTGTAAGACATTGCCTGTCAGTCCCATGCCAGTGACACGACCCAAAAGGATACCATGGTCAATGTTATCAAAAGCCGCTGAGAGGTTCAGGAGAACCAACATGGGTATCATGTACCCTGTCAACCTTCAATCACATCTTAAAACTATATGAAGTATTTCTATTTTTACAATTAATTTTGAAAGAGACACTTGGCATTTGGGTTCTGAAGTTTAGGTTTGTTCTTCAAATGCATACTTAATCGTTTACTTATTCAGAGCTTTAACTTCTTTATATCCAACTCATTTATACTCAACTCATTTGAAATGTGGTTCTGGACAGGGGTTCTACGGCTACTATGTATTGCTAAAATGCCAGATTAATGGGTCCTACAGCTAAACAAGCCCAAACTCTTCCTGGAAGTAAAGTTGACTAAACTGAGGCTGTTATACTTTCGTCCTATCTTGATAAGATATGACTACCATAATGCTTGGTAACATCAAAAGCAATAGGAAGAGGGGAAGATCATATTCCAGTTGGATTGTCAAGAAAGCTTTGAGTTTGCAAGAACTGAGCAGTGATGTTGATAACGTCTCCTATTCATAGGGTTACCATAAATTGAATTTGACTTGATGGCAGTTAAAATCTATGTTTATATTCTCCTTTTCTGTCAGTGGTATCTTCAGATGATATCTTTCCATGCAACTGACTAGCTAAGGCAGGATGGTACCATCACGTGCCCTTAGGCCATGATTCACCTTATAACTATCATATTTTGCCTTTTTCTAGCAAAACAATGCTGAACATCAAGTAAAAGAACAAAACACTTTATTAAGTAAAACCAGCTGAAATCATTTTTCTAAAACAGGCATTGGCAAACTTTGGCCCTCCAGGTGTTTTGAACTTCAACTCCCACAATTCCCCAGCCAATAGGTATTGTGGGACTTGAAGTCCAAAACACCTGGAGGCTCAAAGTTTGTCCATGCCTGTTTTAAAAGGAAACAAATGATCAAGCACATTGAATCTCCTAGAAGCCAAGAGACTGACATATCTTGGCTATATCATGAGAAGACATTACTCACTGGAAAAATACAATAATGTTTGATAAAGTAGATGGCAGTAGGAAAAGAGGAAGATTGTATTCCAGATGGATAGATTCAGTCAAGGAAGACACAGATCTGAGCCTGCAATACCCGAGCAGTGCTGTTGAGAACAAGATGTCTCTTATTCATAGGGTTGCCATAAGTTGTTGACTTGATAGCAGTTAACAACAACATTTATATTATGTGTTTCTTTCAGTGGCACTTCTCATGATATCTTTCCATGCAACTGACAAGATGCAGATTTGTGAGCTAAGGCAGAATGATTGCATCATGTGCCCTTGGGCTATGGCCTGGTCATACAGCTCCTTGGGTGACATCAGCTTGATAGTTTCAATAGGCTTTTCAATATAATTTTGAGACTAAGATTCTGGGACTTTGATCACTTTGAAGAAGAGTATATGTATAAATAAATAGATTGGGAATATTAGGAGAAGGTGTGTGTAAACCAGTGCGGTAACACAGAACAGGACTGGGTGACCTATAGATTCATATTCTCATCTGTTCTGTTTGCAATGAGACCTCTAGATGTACTGGAGAACGTACAAATAATTTTATGTTGATTGTAAACTCATCTTCCTGAGAGCCTCAACTTCTTTCTGTCACTCAGAAGAAATGTATTTCTGTCTTCTGCAGAAGTGAAGACATGCTCAAATATATGTTGGCGGTGTTTAGAAAGGACATTAATGTAGCTGAATTCAATCTTTGTTTGAGAAGTACATTTTGGCTCTCTGTGTAGCTCTGCCTCCACTCCTTTGCAAGCAAAATAACAAAATGTAGAATAAATTATCCATATTTACTCGAGTCTAAGGCAGCATCGAATCTAATGCGCACCTCAATTTTCAAACCCTGAAGTCCCCAAAAGTATTTACCATATTACGCAAATCTAATGTGCACTCTAATTTTGGAAAGGTGATTTAGTAAAAAAAAAGGTGAGCTTTACGATTGAGTAAATACGGTAGTTAGAGAAGATCAGCGTCTCCCTAATTTATTCAGGTTACAGAATTTAGCAGGATTTCTGTGGTTTTACATTTCAAGGGAGATGACAATTTTTGGATAAACAATCGCTTAGAGGAGGCTTTCTTTCTTATCTAAACCAAGAGGGCTGGCTTTACTCTCCAGATACAGGAATCTCTGTTTCTAAAAACCAGAAACATAGATGTGACATTGTGTAGTATTGGTGTATTTATGTTAAACAAGTTGATAGGCAATACAAGATCATTAGCAAAACATGTTGAAAAAATACAGCACATCCAGTACATTTTATATGAAATATTCAGTCATATTGCAGTTCATCAAAACAAGTAAAATTTGATAGTATTTTGTTACAGTTATTTTTCATCTATTTGATTTCATTTTTGCTGGTTCTTTGAAAGGTAGATGTCCAAATTCCCTGGTCATCACCTGCCCTGTTTTAGGGCCATGGCTTCCTAAATTTAATCAAGACACTTGTCATGTGATCCCCCTCTTTTCCAAGAGCATTCCATTATATCAAGCATTATCCTTTCCAGTGAGTCATGTCTTTTGTATTGGAATTTTGATTTTAAAAAAATAGTGAGATCATGTGGAATCGTGTTGAATCTCCTTCTTTGGAGATTTTTAAGCAGAGGTTGGATTGCCATCTGTCAGGGGTGCTTTGATTGTGTGTTCCTGCATAGCAGGAGGTTGGACTGGATGACCTTTATGATCTCGTCCGACTTGATGATTCCATGATTCTATTTCTAGTCTATCAGCTAAAGTTGGTATTCACTGACTTTACTAAGCAATGCTACAGTGGGTCCCCTGTATCCACTGGGGTTGGCTTCCAGGATCTCTTATGGATGCTCAAGCCCCATTAAGTGGAAATATTTCTCTTTGGCAATTAGATTTGATGACTTTCTGCAATGTCATGATAGCAGTGATAAATGCGCATTGCTTTCCTGAATGTGAAGTTTTCATCCATTTCTAGTTCGGTTGATAATGTGAGAAGCAAAGGTTGGAGGTCAAGATCTGGACTATAATATCAATGTGCCTTTTGGAGCACTTATATCCTGTTTAAGTTTGGAGGGCTAGAGGGGCAAGTATTTGCTTCATACTTGAACTTTATAAGTTCCACCTTGATACTGTCTTTTTGTGATGATGGGATTGGATATTTCACTGAGATGTAAGACTATGTTGACAGCATTGCTGCTGGTAATGTGTCAAGACAAGCTTTTACTAGTTTTCTATTGTTAGTGTTCTATTTTCTGTCGCCAAGGTCCTCTTACTTAGCACATGATCTAGGGGAGGAAAATGCGCTGGGAGGAATTGAGTGAAGGCTGAGTTTGGCAGTCTAGTTGCCATTAGCTCTATATAGCTGCAGCCCCTGTCTCTGGAGCTTGGTGAACAGGACTTTGGCTAAACTACAAAGGTGTTTAGCAAAGAGGCTTTGAAAGTGGCTGTCTAGAGTTCTCTTTCAATACCTACATAAGGCTTAATCTACACTGCCATATAAAATCTGGATTATCTGCTTTGATAATATGGATTATATAGCAGTGTAGATCCATCCTAAGTTTACTGGATATAGGTGGTGAAGGAGCCCACCTGCAACAGCTGTGGTATGTTTGTCTTCTTGTCAAAGTGGATGCAGATTGCTGTACACCTGAAGTAAGTGCAAGTTTGATGGCCCTGGTGTAAGAGAAGGTCCAGCAACCTGTGGCCTGGTTATCTACTCTTCAGCATACTAGGGACAATGGGATTTTCTTGGGCAAAGTGCATTTCATGTTTCTTTAAGCTCAAGAATCCCTTTTGGCTACACTAATAGCTTTTTACTGTGCCGCAAGAAAGCCAAACTGCTGATTTTTGGTTTTTTGGGGGTTTTTTTTGCAGTTTTTGGGTGAATTTCCATAACACAGGTGACCTTGGAAGGTTCAGTACATGAAATGGCCCATGCCAGTCCCCAGAGGAGACATGTAGTAGTGGTAGGGGTCTTCTGCTGAAGGGAACAGAGGTAGTGATTTGTGAACCTTACAAGAAGAGGAGGAGGATGATGAATAATTAATTAACTGTCTCTCCCTGCATTTTGAGAGATGTGCTGTCTCCCTGGGGCAAAAATATATCAGAGAGGCTAATTAAGACCCCTTTACCCTTCCTTTTGGTTCACATAACCATCAGTCAGATTGCAAGGCTTTGGATAAGAAGCTGAGGACTTTGATGTGCAAGTTGCTGTTTCTTCTCCTCTGAGTTGAAGGACATGGCACAGGAAGGGAGAGAAATAGTATACTCAAGTTGAACAACTGGCTCCACAGATTGGGCCACTGGGAATGTTTTGGTTTCTTGGGACATGATCTGTGGTTTCATGATGATGGGACTTCTGGCAAGTAATACGTTTTTGCGAAGAGCCTCACAAATCGGATCAGAAGGGCTTTAAACTGAGTTATACATGGAAGGAGACAGTATCCATGAAGGCAAGAGTCCATCAAGTGCTGGAGATAATAACCCATTTTCTAAAATGTAGCAAATGGCCAGGCCCTTGCCATTTATCTGGCTGCTGGTGGTTGCTCACTTAGTAGGGTTATTCTTGTGATAGACAGGGACTTCCGTGAAACAGGTGGAGATATACTAAAGTTCATGAGCACAGCAGACTGTTGATGCAGCTCATGCAAAACAGCACGTGGAAGGCAAGCAATCCCAGAGTGATATGCTGCTGCTTGTAATTTCTATGGCATGGGCAAATTGAATCCTCAAAGGAGGTTGTCTCCCGAGTGTGTTAATTATGCAAGTAGCCTGTTTGCTTTTCACCAAGACTGGGCTAAAAATAGCTAACAAGCCAAACTGGAAAAATTACTTAAGACAACTGATTATAGATTGAATATAAAGATATGGATTAGAAATAATTTAATCCTAATTGAAATCACTCTGTCAGTTGTATTTTGTTTACATTTTCTTCTGTGGAATAACATGGGCAAGGTGCGGAAACTGCTGAAAACAGCTCTGCAGGCAAATATCTTGACGACTTATATTTGAGATAGCATTCTACCATAAGACTTCTAAAGACGATGTATGAAATTGAAATTCTTTCATCAGCTATTCTGATTCAGCATAAAGAAAAAGCAAATCTGTACCTGTGACAAATTAAGTGCAACTAGTCTAAAACAATATGACTTTCAGTAAAATGTTACAGTATGGAGTGCTTCTGTTCATACTGTAGCCAACCCTGGTCTTTTCCAGGATAATCCATTCAGCTTCACTCTCCAATTTTCCATTTCTCCCCAGAAGTATCAGCCAGTAATTCAAGGGTAATATAGTGAGCATACTCATTGCACTACTTGAGTTTTTCCTAAATATTTTGTGAACGTCCAGATACTTTGGAGTTCCTCTATATCAGTGGTTCCCAACCTGTGGTCCCTAAGAACTAAAATATGGTCCGTGGCCTCACCATTACTACACCATTGCAATAAGAGCGATTGGTCTCTTATAGTGCCGAGGCAGCAGGGATGTCGAGAGGGGAGTTGCTGACGACCTATGAAAGGTGTGACAACAACCCTTGTGATTGCTGCTTTTCCTCTTCCTCCCTCCTCCTGAACAGGAGGGAGGAGGCACCTGGAAGTGGATGTATCTTGGTGTCTTCATTTTAGGCCTGTTCCGGGAGTTTTTTGGGGTGCTGATTCAGAAAATTGCATTCGATAGACCACATCAGCTCTCGATTATTAAAAATTGTTTTCTGTGTGTGAGCAGATGGCGGCTACTGGATGGCATATGTTCTGTATCAGAAACTAGAGCTGATGTGGTCTATCCAATGCAGTTTTCTGAATCAGCACCCCAAATAACCAAACCAAATTTAAAGTTGACTAAAAACTGATTCATAACTCTTTTGGTACTAATGTTGGAGAGTGGTCCCTCGTCAAGTGGTACCTGATTTTAAAAAAAGGTTAGAAACCACTGCTCTAGTTGTTATGATCCCTCCATTTTACTTCATTTTTGTTTAACTTGGGGCTTGTTTAAAGCAAACTACCTGTACTACCCAAATCATCATAAATTGTCATGGTTTTATTGAAGAAAATAATAACTGGGTCACATTAATACATGGATGTGAAAGCTTCAGATCCCCATGGAGCCAAACCAGAAGAGGTTTGAGGAACATGAGAACCTGTCTCTCTCATTCTCATCATGATAAACCATGCTTTTATCATAATGTCTGAGCTGGGTAATTTTCCTGACTACTGGTTGTCCTACTTGACTGTATAATCTTAGAGTGTTACTAATCTGAACTCCTATCATTCTTTTTCACTAGATCTGGAGGCCAATAACGGCAACCTTCTATTTCCCTGTTGGCCCAGGAACAGGGTTTCTTTATTTGGTGAATTTATACTTTTTATATCAGTATTCATCTCGGCTGGAAACAGGTACTTTATCTTTAAATATGTAGCTGTTTGTAGAGTCTGTTTAAATAACATTAAGGGATACAAGTTCCCATACACTTGCTTTTCTAAGTGTCTGAATATATCTTCGAGTCGCCTTTTTAGGCTGATATTTGCGGTATACAAAAGAAGTAAATAATAAATAAATAAATAAATCTTGTGACACTAATTTGGCTAGTTTTACGAAAGAGTACAGGTTGAGTATCCCTTATCAGAAATGCTTGGGACCAGAAGTGTTTTGGATTTTGAGTTTTCTCATTTTTTGCTTCCTGTATTTGCATAAGTCAATTTTATATTCAGTATTTTTAATAATTTTCTGTATGAAACAAAATTTGTGTACATTGAAGCATCGAAATCAAAGTTATCACCAACATAGCCATCCATGTGGAAAATTTCAGATTTTGGATTTCTGGATAAGAGATGATCAACCGTATAGAGAAACTGTATCTGTATTTATTGTTGTCTTATGCATTCTTGGTTGTTGGTAAACATGATACCTTTTCTCAAACTACTTTCTGGTGCAGTAACCAATATTTTATATGCACAAGCAGACTGCTTATTCACAGAAAACCATGATAAGGCAGGAATTTGGGTTATTGTTACTTGTTTACTTAAAATAATAGTGCACTCTATGATCTTTTAGCCATAACACCTGAAAAACAAGATATAAAAAGTAATATTGGAACATTTTCAGGAATAAAAAAGCTTATATACTTGAAAGGAAGAAAATAAGTTATCAGCCTTTTAATACCAACAGACACGGAATTAAACAGAATTTTGGACATGGCCAAGTGGCTTGTCAGATTACGGTTTCAGGCTCTGTAAGAGTGGTTCACAATCTTTGGTTATTTTGGACTTCAGCTCCCACAATTCCTAACAGATGCTAAACTGGCTGAGATTTCTGGGAGTCGAAGTCCAAGACACCAGAAGGCCCAAATTTATCTAGCAAATTGGCCATTTTGCAATGTAAGTGAAAACTGCTTGAAATCAATTCTGTAAAACAGGAGGAAAGAGCTATTTGTTCTTCTGTTGCATGTCCTTTGCATTATCTCTGTTAGTTTGTTTCCACATGTTTTAGTTGAGTCCCATGTCAGGTTGGAGGACCAAAGGACATCCATTTAATGTGTATGAAAGAGTTCTCTTGACTGGCAAGTAGTTAAGAAACTTAAGATTTATATTAGTTTTTTTGGCCTTGCACAGGTGATAGAAGTTAGCGACTAGCTTTTGGTATTCATATCTGCAGCTGCATTTCAGCAAAAGTCTGAATCACAAACTATGTACTAAGCTCCGGTAGCTACTTGCCTTAGACCAGTGGTTCTCAACCTGTGGGTCCCCAGATATTTTGGCCTTCAACTCCCAGAAATCCTAACAGCTGGTAAACTGGCTGGAATTTCTGGGAGTTGTAGGCCAAAACATCTGGGGACCCATAGGTTGAGAACCACTGCCTTGGACTGACTTCTGTGGCTATAATTTTAGGGCTAGGGTCTAGTAAGTATGTTTGGTTCTGCGTAGCCTTTGACTTTGCAGAATGTTAACTTGCTGTATTAACTGTTGATTCTGATTAGTTACAGCTGTGCAAATAAGCACCCCCAAACCTGACCCACCAAGCTTAGCACACGGATACATACAGTGTATACAGAGTGGCCTGACAAGTCCCAAACCTGAATGGGTCTCATGCTAGCAAACGGCTCACTGCAAAGCTTTATTTCTATATTACATAACTCATTCAGTGTATGATACTAAGTAAAATCAATATACAGGTTTCCATCTACTTAAACAATGACCAATCATCAGTTTAATGTACAATGAACTTTTTGTTTGCAAAACCCTTAGTTTTGCCTGAAAAATGAAAATATAAATCTGTCTATTTTTAAAAGGAAGATAATTTATCATTTTCATTCTACACCTGATAACACAATCCATCAGAATCAAAGGGATCATATTGAGGAGTCTATTCAAATCATACTTTTCAGTATGATTTTGAATAAAGTCTTGCTGAATTTTCCTGCAGGTTTTTTCATTACAGCAGCCACTTTTTTCTTCCTTGGAACAAAAGTTGCAGTATATTCATAGCCCTGAAGAGCCAAATTGTGCCTCGTCTTGGGGAATGAAAGCAGAACACCTGCTTATCTCACACAAAACCCTTTCTTTGTTCACAGGTGCTTTTGATGGAAGGCCTGCCGACTATGTGTTCATGCTTCTCTTCAACTGGATCTGCATAGTTGTATCCTTTATTTTTGCTACCAACATCTTGAATATATTTGAACTCACGGAGAGCAGCTGTGGAGGTGGTGTGAGTCTTGCGTGGGAGACACAAAGTGTCCAAACCTTGGTTCACTCACTAATCCACTGAGTCACCTTAGGAAGCCACTGTCAGCTTCTCCTGTCATTTTCCCCACCTTATGTAATAATAGCAGCCTCCTTTGTTTGGTGAGGTTGGGTAGGGATAGCTGTAAACATTAGAATTGAGAAAAATGTTTATAAACACAATTGACCCTCCATATCAGCAGATTTAATTATCCATGGCTTGAAAATATTCATATTCAAAATATTGGATATAATGGGACTTGAGCATCTACAGATTTTGGTATCCTTGTGTATTGATCTGAGTTAAAAAGATGTAACACAGTACTCAATGCAACAGGTTATGCCAAAGTTATTTCTGATTTTGCCTATCTCAAAAGGTTTTAAGTATCAAATCTTCTTCACAGTACTATTGATGGTTTTCCTTAAAACAGTGAAAGATTACTGGCTTGGCAATGAATATGCAGGTAAGTGTACGTTCACCGTATGTCTCTCCCCCCCCCCCCTGCTTTTTCCTATAATGGTTGGCTTCTTGAGATTGACAGACATATATATGCATGCATACACACATTTCCTGCTGTATTGAGGCCAAGATCTTGACTGGAAGTTTTATAAGAGCATCAGCAGGGACTAATGTGTGGTTCTCTGGCTCAGAGAAGGGGGTTCCTTATATGAGCCATGAGAATTTAACATATAACCACCCAAGCTTCTCTTATCCCTGGCACTTTCTCCTTTCAGAATTTCCAGAGCAAGAAAAGAAATCTCTCTCCCACCCCAAATGAAATAAATTGGTAGCGTTTTGGAGATGAGTTTTTTTCTGCCATAGTGCTTAGAGAAAGAGTCTCTTTCGGTACTGGGTCACAGGGAATGGCTTTATCTCGAATCTCCAATCTGTCAGCAGCACTTGGCTTGTTCTCAGTCCACTCTTTCTTCGTGGTGTCTTCCACCACAAACCTCTATGTATAGATCTTTCTCATAATCAATTTTCCTAAATATTTATTTTTCAGTAACAGAACAGGGTGTGGGGACCACACAGTACACACATATACACCCTAACCCTGAAAATTCATTGGGTTACTTTGCAGAAGTCACAGTCTTTCAGTCTTAGATAAATGAGTACTAGGGCATCCTATGATTAGAATTGCTATAAACTGAAGCAAGAAGAATGGGAAGGAGATCTGTTTACTTTTTAGCAAAAATATTAAAAGTTAGGTTCAAGGCATGGCTAACTTGAAATGTGTTGTATGACTTGGTCCTTCAATTTAAGGTCCTACTGTTGATTCTTCTGTGGAGGAAAAACACTCTCTCCTTTCACAGCATCACTTCTATATGTCACATTCATTTATTTTTAAAGATTGCGTTGAAAGCAAATCAACACCTCTGTTTTGTTGAGGGTCTGGTTATGCAAGCACCAAAATTATAGTTCTGAATAAGGAGGCTTGAAATGGCACAACCCATTTCTACTACGATGGTCAGATTTTCTTTGGTTGTGTGAGTTTTCTGTAGCTATCAACAACCCTTCTGTTTCTTCATTCTCCTGCAGTTGCTGATGATCCCTCTTATCATGTCTGTTCTTTATGTTTGGGCCCAGCTGAATAGAGACATGATGGTGTCATTTTGGTTTGGGACACGGTTTAAGGTAAGGTCCAAGATTGAATAAGCAGAGTCTTCTGAAATGTCTTTTTCTGAATTTCTTTAAAGCCTCTTTCTCTGGAGGCTTTCAAGTGGAAACTAGATGACTATCTATCAGGCGTGTTTTGATTGTATGTCTTGCATGGCAGGAGGTTAGACTGGGTGGCCCTTGTAAGTGCCTTCCATCTCTACGATTCTAAGATTTTCTTACTGCTTATTTAAAACTTTTTTTTTTCATTTTTGGTTCATAAAAACCTCATGTATACTATTGCCTTCCTAGGCATGCTATTTACCCTGGGTTATTCTGGGATTCAACTACATCATTGGAGGCTCGTAAGTATTCCTGAATATTGTTAGGGTATGTCTGGGACTATACATGTACTCATATCCAGAATTACATCCAAACTATTAGCATCTGGAATCCAAAGGATATAAAGATGAACTATGTGACTTTCAAAACACAAATAAGTAAAAAGTATTTGTTTCCCAAGAGCTTGGTATTTGGTCCTTTTTAGTTCTCAAATGTAATATTAAGGCATATAGTTATTAGCTCCTGTAATCTCTTTCCCATATTTTTTGCAAAGATTCCAGGATATATTTCTTTTTTAATGGGTGCCTAGTCTTCAATCAACACAGAATGATTAGTAGATTAATCCTAGGGAAATGCATAAGTATCTGTACATATTTAGGATCCTTACAGATTAGTCACAGAAATCATTCTACTTTGTAATAGTCAGTGTTTTGTCCCCACAGTATCATCAATGAGCTAATTGGCAACCTAGTCGGTCATCTGTATTTCTTCTTAATGTTTAAATATCCAATGGACTTGGGAGGAAGAAATTTCCTATCAACGCCTCAGTTCCTGTAAGTTGGCTTTTTGCCTTTTTAAGAAATTCAGATTTCTTTGCATTTGGAAACATTGATGAATCATCTCATGTAGTCATTGGAAAAAATTTGCAGTAGCAATAGTGAGAAATGTTAGGTGACAAAGCAAGGCGAAACTGTGAATGAGTAAAGTGCTATGTTTGAGCAGAACACTGGAAACAAAAGAGAGGAAGATATTTTGAAGTGAAACAGACACCATCAGTCAAAACGAGAAAGGAAAAAAAATGATAGAGTTGTCAGATAAACTGAAAAGAGCCCATCTGAAGACAGAACTTCTTGCTGCAAAGTGCCAGCCTAAGCATGCTTATTTGTAAATACAGCATTTAAATATATCCCCCTTTACATTGCCAATGTACACAATACTTTTGCCATGATACAGATAGTTGCTCTACATCCATCTTCTCTAGCTTTGTGTCCCTTGTTATAACGTCCACCGGTCAATGTTGTTCTCTGCTCAGTCTTAAAAACTTAGCTACTGCAGGCAGCCCTTCACATTCATTGGGATTACAGGCAGAGGACTCCCACAAAAGTGAAACATGCAAATGAAAAATTACTGGAAGTTGATCATCGGGTCACTCTAGAATTTCCTAGAGTGATGTTCGCTCTAGGAATCTCTAGCAACTCAAGTGATTCTGGTAGAGATTGACTATTAAGTTGCACTGGAGGAACTAGAGATTCCTAGAATAAACATATTCATCAAATCCATGAATAATCAAACTCATAAAAGTCAAACCAGGAAATGGGGGCTGACTACTATATAAGTAGAGGGCCAGTGTCAGCTAGATGGCCATTACCCAAAATAATGCCTCCTGAACTTGGGTCCAGAGAAACAGAATGTAATGCCAAAGTGAGGTGATATAAAATACTGCATTTGTCACAGAGGTGATGCAGACCGACCGGGTTTTTGTCTGAACATGGAAAAGTGGGCTGGTCACACTGGTGACTATCCTGACTATGAGATCTTGGGAGTTAAAAATTCCAAAAAAGTAACAGCTCAAAGCTCAGTTCTCAAAAGAGGAAGGAGACTCAGTCTACATAAGTCTAGAGATAGAATAGGAGTGAATAGGCCAAAACTCTGAAAATGCAGTAGCAAAATGAACAGAGAAAATGATTGAGTTGAGCAAAGGACAAGAGGGATCCTCTCACCTCTGCAGGAGTCTACCGTATACCACGCAGCTGTGGACAAGTCTACATAGGGACCACCAAATGCAGCGCCCAAACACGAATCAAGGAATATGAAAGGCACTGCAGACTATTTCAATCAGAGAAGTCAGCCATAGCAGAGCACCTGATGAACCAGCCTGGACACAGCATATTATTTGAGAACACAGAAATGCTGGACCACTCTCACAACCACCATGTCAGGCTACACAGAGAAGCCACTGAAATCCACAAGCATGTGGACAATTTCAACAGAAAGGAGGGTACCATGAAAATGAACAAAATCTGGCTACCAGTATTAAAAAACTCTAAAATTACAACAACAAAACAGCAGAGAGGAAACAATCAGGGACAGCTAATAACCTCTCAACAAAGGATTCCCCCAGGCACTAACAAGCCACACCAAAAAAATTCCAGGCCATCAAATACTAATCAAGGTGGTCAGTTGAAACATTCACACCTAGCTCCAGCAGACAAGAGTTCTTTGTCCCACCCTAGTCATTCCACAGATAGATAAACCCAATTTTCCTAGTTCCAACAGACCTCACTACCTCTGAGGATGCTTGCCATAGATGCAGGCGAAACATCAGGAGATAATGCATCTAGAACATGGCCATATAGCCCGAAAAAACTTACAACAACCCAGTGATTCTGGCCATGAAAGTCTTCGACAATACAATAAAATGATTGTTTGATCAGAGAGAGACAGATGGGTAGAGGGCAAGAAGGCACATGCATATGAAGCCACAATTCAATAAAGGAATCCAAGGAGAGAGCAGGGTAGCAAACGTTCATGTGCTTGCTCTCAAGCAATATCCTGCTTTTATCTATTTTGAAGCCAAAGGATGAATTCTGGTTTGCTATTTACAGAGAGCTGCCAGCATCCCCTGAGATCTGTAATTGCTTTAGAATTTGTCAGATGTTGTATATTTTTTGTACTAGTTGCCCAAATAATCTTTGCCATTGATGGGCAACTTGTTGATTTAACATGTGGTAACTTACTGAAATGGAGTAAGCAAGAAAGTGTAATACTTATGCAATTTGCTTAAATCCTTGATGGAATCTAAATTGGAATTGAGCTATTAAAATGCTTCTCTGACTCAAAATGTTAGCTGTTTTGGAAGGTCTGAAACTAGAATGCAAGGAACTCTAGAGACCGTTGAGATTGTTGCATCATTAGCTTCACCTTTCGGTTGGTTGCCGTTTAACCTTTACGGTTCAGTAGGTATAGAAGTCCTTAGCCAGAGAAATGGTGCACAGGCATACATCTTAATTTTCTTCTTTTTGCATTTCTCTGACCTCCAGGTACCATTGGCTGCCCAACAGGAGAGGAGGAGTGTCGGGATTTGGCGTTCCCCCTGCAAGCATGCGCAGACCGGCAGACAACCGGCAGGGTGACGGAAGACACAACTGGGGGCAGGGCTTTCGGCTGGGCGATTAATGAAAAAACTTTCTGCTTCTTTTCTTTTCGTTTTGGTGTGTGTGAGAGAGGAACACCTTCAATCATACATGGGAATGATTCCTACCGTGGAGTGTATTCAAGGTCCATGTTTGCTGTAGTACTGTTGGGTGGACCCCATTGAGAATCCTGGTTTGTCCCTGGTGGAAGACAGCACAGCTCCAAGGCACAAGAGAGATTTTCCTGCGGGCTCTTGAATACTGCTCAACTCAATGCTGCCATTAAAAAGAAAACTCACATTTTTAATACTGCCTAGCACGTGTACTTTCTTTTACCAAGCTCCTCAGGTGAATTAATGTTACTCCAACTATCTTGTTTGCCTCTTTTCAATGTCAGAGGCATCTAGCCTACAGTTTTGGTCACAGCCTTGCTATTCTCCTTCCCGATGTAATTCAGAAAAGGCTTAAAGTTCACCTAATGTTAATGGATTCGCTGCAGGTATATGTAACTACTTTCTTTAGCAGTCACAGACTTTGGGGAGAAAGGGGGGAACTTGACTAATTCAGATTTATTTCCATAAGGAGAGATAATAATTTGAACTGCTCTAACAGAAATGAAAGGGATGACTGTTAATTTCTATTTGGAAAATATGCATCTACTTCTTCCAATACATTTGCAGTATAGGCATAACAACTGGATGCAATAAGTGTCACAATCATTTGGGAGGGAGTCTTATTGAACTTGGCAGGGGGTTGGACTGGATGGCCCATGAGGTCTCTTCCAATTTTGTGATTCTATGAACCTAGTGAGGCTTACATCTGAGTAAATAGTGTAGATACGATTTTCATAAAATGCACTTTGTTCCTCGATGCCTGTACGTTTCTGGGGTTTCATGTAGAATTGAGGACAATGTCACATCTTTTCTGCAGGCATGAAAAGGGCAGACTGACTGCATATGTGTTGGATAGGTAACACAAAATATTCTTTTGATTTGCAATAAAGTGCAACCAGAAAGGTGCTGCTGAGCTTAATAAAGCCATTTCAACACCTCCCTTCTCTTTGACCATTGTTCCTCACTCCTTGGCCATATTTCGTATTTGAAGAAATTATGTGCTTAAAGAATGTTCAAGAATTGTTGAAAGATAGATTTCTTAATTTAATGGTGAGAAATAAGTGTGCTGTCACTAAGTGTGTGGAGTTACTAATGACTGTTATATGAGAATTATTATCCATCTGTTCAGACGGTGGAAAGAGACCTGTTCTGTTACTGCCATTGGTCTCTTCTCTCCTTTGAGCTGTGTTGAATAGTGTTGCCTACTTGTTGAGCCAAGAAACCCTGCAGCAGTCTTGATCTCATTCACCTTTTCTTCAGAATCAGGTCAGTTAATTTTATCTTCTCTCAATATTTTTGTCTGCAAAATGGAATTAAAAATAGCTGTTCTTCCAGTTGTGCTACTAGGTATGGTTTTGTAGCTGCTCAAGAAAGGGAAGCCCATTTGAAGTAATTGTGTTTTAGATCTTACAACAACAGTCTCTTATAAATCTATAGTTGTTGTTATGAATTTATAAGGAACAGTGTCCTTATGGGAGGTTTTTTTTTGCTATGAAAGCGTGAACAAACCTGCAGTGATGGTCTTAGATTAATCAAGTGTCTGCTTTTGTCAATCTAACAGAAAGGGATAAAGCAGTGGTTCTCAACTTGTGGGTCCCCAGATGTTTTGGCCTTCAACTCCCAGGTGGTAAACTGGCTGGGATTTCTTGAGAGTTGTAGGCCAAAAAACACCTGGGGACTCGCAGGTTGAGAACCACTGGGATAAGGGAATTGTTCAAATTATCCTCATTGCAATAAACTCTGCAATTGCTTTTAAAGTTTTTATTTATGTTATTAATTAATGAAATATTAATAAAGTTCCCACTGCCCAGAATACGAATTTCCTCATTAATTCTAGTGATATGTGGCTTTTCCTGCATCTCATTAATGCCCTGCACATATATTAGAAAAAAGCTCCCACCATTCCCAAATAGCATGATTATTATGTTGTAAACACAACACACCTGGAAGGCACCAATTGGAAAAAGGTAACTATTGTACTTTTTCAAATTCTTCTATAAATATAATAGTAGTTAACCTGATTAGCATCCAAAAGAGGACGTATGTTCACGCAGTGCGTATACAGTCAGCTTTCCACAAAGACTGAAGTTCAAAGTGCAGAACTCCTGCAAAAGTGGAGAAATTGTGAATAAAACACTGCTTTTAAAAAACCTGAGAACACCTCCCTAGAAATCTTTATGTCCACCAGCAGAACTCTACGGTTTGTTGCAAGTAGAAGTTAATCTTAAATTCGCATTGGAAGACGTAAAGATTCATAAAGAAAACATTTTAATCCAGCCATCCTTAAACTGCAGCCCTCCAGCTGTTTGGGCCTCCAACTCCCAGAAGCCTTAACAAGCTTGTTCAATTGTCAGGAATTCTGGGTATTGAAGGCCCAAACAGCAGGAGGGCTGCGGTTTGAGGATGCCTGTTTTAATCAAAGCTGCAAAAAGTCAAAACCCCGAAAGTTGAAGGACTGGTTATACTTTAAACTTGGGTTGCTGTCTTCTTTACCACTGTCTTCCATTGTCATAGACTCAAACAATTTCTTAAACCTGAACTCCCAACTTTGCTCTTAGTACTAGGAGTTGCATTATCAAAACTGTTACAAAAACCTTTTTTGGGTTGCTATGAGTTTTTTGGGCTGTATGGCCATTTTTTTCATGTCAGGAGTGACTTGGGAAACTGTAAGTCACTTCTGGTGTGAGAGAATAGTCTGTCTGCAAAGACGTTACCCAGGTGACGCCTGGATGTTTGACGTTTTACCATCCTTGTGGAAGGCTTCTCACGTGGGGAGATGGAGCTGACGGAGCTCAACCCACTCTCCCTGGATTTGAACCGCTGACCTATCGGTTAGCAGTTCTACTGGTACAAGGGTTTAACCCATAGTTCTACCAGGGGCTCCATGGCCATGTTCCAGTAGCATTCTCTCCTGATGTTTCACCTGCATCTGTGACTTCCATCTTCAGATGTCAGGAGAAAATGCTACTCTAGCATAGCTGTACAGCCCAAAAAACTCACAGCAACCCAGTGATTCTGGCCATGAAAGCCTTTGACGACACTTTTGACTTAATCCAGCATTCTTTTTTGTGGATGATATTCCTTCTCTGGATATTTCCCAAGGATGTGAGTGTTACTCTACCCAAGCCAATTTTCTTTTCTAAAACAGGATCTCATTGTGAAGTGAAGGATTGTTTTTATGATCTGGATTCTCCTTGTTGGGAACTCTAGAGAAATTAATCACTGCAATGTATGTGGTGTTCATACAAAGCTGTCAGAATGGACTTGGAGATCCAGAAAAAGCAGATGCCACAGTCTTCTGAATTGGCAGGAATGGGCGGAGAGTAGAAGTTAAAGATGTAATGTTCTGTTCCGTCTTGGGAACAGTGGTTCTTTTAAAGAATGGCAATATGTTGTTGTTGAAGGCTTTCATGGCCAGGAATCAATAGGTTGCTGTGAGTTTTCCGGGCTGTATGGCCGTGTTCCAGAAGCATTCTCTCCTGACGTTTCACCCACATCTATGGCAGGCATCCTCAGCTTGAGGCCTGCCATAGCTGTGGGTGAAACATCAGGAGAGAATGCTTCTGGAACATGGCCATACAGCCTGGAAAACTCACAGCAACCCAGCATAGCAATATTTCGGAATGATTGAGATTGGCCTTAATGTAAGGAATCTAAAGAGTTGAGCAGATCTAAGTCTTGGAACATGAGTGGCTTGTACTCAATGATGTAATTAACTATAATTTGGTTCTTTGGCAATAAGAATTGCTGTATCAACCCTAATCATTGTACAGGAAGATGATATATAAAATCACATAATATGCACATTTGTAAAAGGAAAAAAATAAACCAGAAGCTGTTTGGTTCTGTCTGAACTGTAACATTACATTGCCTTGAAATGCTCTGAGAAAGGGCATATATAGTAACCCACGTAAGATTGCCATGATGCAACCAGCACTAGAGATTTTCTTTTTGTAGTTGTTCAATTCTGTGGAGGAATATCATGCCTTGTATGCGTCTCAAAGCTGGATGTGGCTCTTGCACATGAAACAGATCTGTGGGGAGTCTACCGGTCTACTTTCTCCATAATGTGCAGTTGGTGCATTCAGATCAATGATTTGCATCAGTCTGATGATGGTAGTTTGCCACGTGCCTTTCCTGGAGGTTAAAAACTCACCCTTTGGTTCTGATTGCTCACCATGGCTTTCATTGGTTCATCTGATATACCCTTTTTTTCTCAAGTTGATACCGACAATGGCAGATTCCATTGTGAATCGAGTACTTCCTTTCTTTTGTACAGAGAACTTCTCTTTTTTGTAATCAAATTTTATTTGTTGTCCTTGGCAAAGTTTTAAATTAAAGTTGTTAAAACTGCAAGTTGCTTTGGGTTTGTTTTGGACTTTGCTTCAGTGTGCTGCAATGTGCAAAGAACTTCAGACCAAGTCTCTGAGCTATAATGTGTGTGTCTCCTCCTAACTAGTTAAAATATTAGTTTCTATTGGTAAGATGCTCCTGAATTTCAGTGATGGGAGTTAAAGGGAACATGTAGTCAAGTGGGACCTTGGATCTGCTGAAGCTATCCAACCCGGCTGAGATGAATCCTTGGCCAGATCCACCAGGGCTGCTCAGAACTAGTCATAACTGGAAAAGCTATATTGGGAATGTGCCATCTGTGAGAAGCAAAAGCTTGTATTAGTATCTAAAGAACAATTAGAGCAGTTCCAGACAGGGGCAAAAAAACCAAAACCTCCGGAACCTGAGAAGATATCCAGATACAGTTTTGTTGGTCACAGGATTTCTGCCTCTGTCATCCACACTTGCTGCTTTGTTGTGGGGTTTTGCATCCCTCAAGATGGCTACCATGGGACTTCCGCTGAGAAGCCCTGGTCCTTGGGTGCTTTAACTAGAAGTCAGCTGTGACCAGCAGTACTGCAGAATTTGAAGATGCACGAATGGAGGGCAAAAGGGAGAAACCTGCCAAGAGTAAGGCACAGCAAGCCAACCCTGACCAGGATCGCGTTCCACCTGGAAACTGATGTCCTCACTGCAGGAGAACATACAGATCAAGAATAGGGGTCCACAGCCACATACTAATTCACCGCCAAGACACTTCACTTGGAAGGCCATCATCTGTTCTGTCAGGAACAGGTTGTGCTTATTGTTTTTATTTTTCTTGGAAGACACTACCTTGGCAGCCACCTCTCCACAAAAGTCAACATTGACGCTGAAATACAACACCCCTGAGCTCTGTGAGTGCAGCATTTTTCTGAATGAAGCAGGAGGATCGTGACATCCGTCGGAAGACCAAGGTGCTTGTTTATAAAGCTATTGTCCTCCCAACCCTATTCTACGCCTGCGAAACGTGGACTGTCTACAGACATCACACTAAACTCCTGGAACAATTCCATCAGTGTTGCCTCTGAAAAATCCTGCAAATCTCTTGGGAAGAGAGGTGGACAAATTTCTGTACTGGAAGAAGTAAAGACCACCAACATTGAAGCGATGCTCCTACACCATCAACTCCGCTGGACTGGTCACATCGTCTGAATGCCCAATCATCATCTCTCAAAGCAGTTACTATACTCCCAACTCAAGAATGGGAAAAGTAATATTGGTGGACAGGAAGAGAGATTTAAAGATGGGCTTAAAGTGAACCTTAAAAACTGTGGCGTAGACACTGAGAACTGGGAAGCCCTGGCCCTTGACCGCTCTAACTTGAGGTCAGCTGTGACCAGCAGTGCTGCAGAATTCGAAGGGGCACGAATGGAGGGCAAAAGGAAGAAACCTGCCAAGAGGAAGGTGCAGCAAGCCAACCCTGACCAGGACCGCCTTCCACCTGGAAACTAATATCCTCACTGCAGGAGAACTTGCGGATCAAAAATAGGGCTCCACAGCCACCTACTAATTCACTGCCAAGACACTACATCTGGAGGATCATCATCCTCGGGCTATGAGGGATCGCCTAAGTAAGTAAGCTGTTATTATGAAAAGATTTACAATGTTCACTAGGGGGCCACGACTTTGTCCTGGCCAGAGAAAATGTGCCCTCCACACATTTCATGAAATTTCTGGCACACAAAGTTTTTGCATTCTACTGAACTGTCACCTTCTTTTTAGGAACCATCAGGAACAAACATCTAAAACCCAGGAGCAAACCCAGATAAAAAAGTCCTGTGATTTCTGAATGCAGGGACATACAGACATTTGAAGATGTTGATTTTTGGCTCAGAACCGGGATATTCCTACACCTGAAAATCTTGTGTTTTTTGTAGTTTGTAGTGATTACTTCCACGTTTACAAGGAATGGCATTTGGCCACCCTCCTGTTTGCTGTGGGAGCTCCTGGAATAAAGATAATATTTGGACGGGCACCTAGATTAAAAGTCACTGCATTTCTGAGTGCTCTTCTATGGCACTTCAAAGGTGAATCAATTTATTAGTGCCATGAAATGTCAATGGCTTATGCCAAATAATTGTAACTATTATCCTGACACAGGACTTTTTTTCTACAATCGACTAACATGATTACTCCTTTGAAAATTACAGGCCTGCAAAATTAAGAGTAATATTTTAAAAAAGTATGTTCTGGTTTTTAAAGGAGTTCTAAATCCAAAAAGATTTGCTCCACTATATTGTTTCTTTAATGACTTGCTTTAACATTTTATTTTGTAAGGTAATTTCTTTGGAGAGTAAAAGAAGTAGGTCTCTAGTCTTAACAGTTAGGTGTTTCTAGTGCATTGTACAAAATATAACTTTAAAAAAGAGAGACAAAAGCAAAACTTGCCCAAAAAAAACCCCATTCCCACATTAACTCTGTGTTTTACTGAGTTACTACAAGCAAAGGAGTCCCCAGTGGTGCAGCGGCTTAAACTGCTGAGCTGCTGAGCTTGCTGCTGTTCAGATCCGGGGAGCAGGCTGAGCTCCCACTGTTAGTCCCAGCTTCTGTCAACCCAGCAGCTTGAAAACATGCAAATGTGAGTAGATCAATAGGTACCACTTTGGCAGGAAGATAACGGTGCTCCATCCAGTCATGTTGGCCACATGACCTTGGAGGCGTCTATGGACAACGCCGGCCCTTCGGCTTAGAAATGGAGATGGGCACCACCACCCAGAGTCAGACATGACTAGATTTAATAACAAGTGGAACCCTTTACCTTAACTTACAACAAACAAACAGAACATTAGAAAACTTTTCTCTTTAATTCAAACTCCCTAATATTAGGTTTGTGCAGCTCATACAGGGTGAAAATGGACCATTCTCTCCAAACTGTAGCAAAGTTGTCTTTAAAAAGGTTTCTCCCAGGCAAGTCTTTATCCTTTCGTTTTTATCACTCTCCTTCTAGCAGATGAAGAACAAAAATGCAATTGGATGTGGGGACGGGACACCTAGAAACAAAGCTAAAAATGTATAGGTGAGAGTTTGAGAATCTGTTTTGTGCACAATAGCACCTACGGCTGACAAAAATAAGTGTCTCTGTCTTTGCACCAATGAAGAAATACAAACAAGTTCCGTTACAAAGAAGCGTAAGCCCTCCATTGAAAAGTCTTGTTGTTTTTTGATGGTACTCTAGAAATAGAAAAAGAAAGTCATTTGGAACAAGAAATGGCAGTGTCCTATTAACTCAGGGCTCCACAGTCCAGATGTTTTGGCTTATGATGAGTTATGGGTAATTGGTAAGCAATATGCTCTCCCACTGCCTCAAAGGCTTTTTTGCATGCAGAAGAACAAAACCAACCCAGGTCCTAAGGAAATGGTTCTTAAGAAAACCAGACAATCTGACCCAGGATTGCTTCAGTGTTCCATGTTGAGATGGACAAACTCTCCTGGGGGCAGAAGCTTATCATTATGCATGGATGAAGCAAACCGAGAAGTTTCCAAATGATTTCACTGTAGTGTAATAGTTACTAGTTCCTCTAAAATGTGTAAATCAAACTGATCTTGAGGATGCAATGGCACTAAGTACCAACCAGAAACAGTACTGCCTTTCCCTGTATTGTTAGTGCAAGTGCACAATGAAGGCAAGTCAACAGCACTACAAAGAAAGCCTATGTACAAGGGCCCTTTTTAAGAACATCCCTAAATGGGACTTTGGCATCATGAAACTGGTGACCCTCCGCAGGATAGTCTTTCACTGTGACTTCAGTTTCTGGAGTCAATACTTTGATATCCTTTTCCAAAAGCCTCCTTTGATCCCAGGGTCAGCGCCAGCACACTTCCAAGATCACAAGGTTGATAGATGTCCAGAAAGCTGAATGATATGTCTGTGAAACAGAAAATAACAATGGAAGATGTTTATTAAGAAAACAGTGCATACCTGGAAAGTAGTACCTTTATCCAGAACATTTTTTAAAAAGTGAAAACAATCCTTTTGCTAGTGGACACAGAGTGGATTAAAGTGTTATTGTTGAAAGAATAGTGAGAGTTTGGTATCTGCTGGGGTTTGATTCCAGGCCCTGTGGATATCAAAATCTGTAAATGTTCAAGTTCCATGACATACAATGGCATAGTAAAATGGTATCCCTTATATAAAATGGCAAAACCAAGGTTTTCTTTTTTTAGGGAAAATGAAGATTTGCTTTCAAGCAATGGATGGCACAAATTGATTATTAAACAAATAAGGTAAAGGTTTTCCCTGACATTTAAGTCTAGTTGAGTCCGACTCTTCTTTGGATAGGGAAAAAACACAAATGGCTGATTCCACTATTTTTGAAAACAATGGTAAATAGAAAAACTGGAAAGAACGTATGTGTGTGTGTATAGGCAAAGGTTTCCCCTTGACATTAAGTCTAGTTGTGTCCGACTCTAGAGGATGCTCATCTCCATTTCTAAGCTGAAGAGCCAGCGTTGTCCGTAGACACCTCCAAGGTCATGTGGCCATCATGACTGCATGGAGCGCCATTACCTTCCTGCCAGAGTTGTACCTATTGGTCTACTTACATTTGCATGTTTTCGAATTGCTAGGTTGGCAGAAGCTGGGCCTAACAGTGGGAGCTCACTCTGGTCCCCGGATCTGAACTGCCAACTTTTTGATCATAAAGTTTAGCAACGCAGTGGTTTAAACCGCTGCGCCATCAGGGGCCCTAAATAAATTAAACCATGCAAATAAATATCAGGGCTTTTATTATGGTTTTTTGTCGTATTAGGAGCAACTGGAGAAACTGGAAGTTGCTTTTATGGTGGTGGCATCTATTTGAAGGCTGTAGGGAAAAAGTAAGACAACATTATTGGCTCAATGGAGGAAGCCATGGCCTTGAGTTTGCAAGATCTGAGTAGGGCTGTTGATGCATGGGATTCTTGCAGATCTCATATACGTAGGATTGCTATACGTTGAAGTCAGTCTCACTGCAAATAGCAGTAACAGACCTGCCCCGTCCATGTTATAAGATCTGTTTGTACTATCTATTCTAGCTGTTAAGTAGACAGTAAAATAGATGCCTGAATGTCTCCATCTTTCCACCTGAGTCTCTTTTTGTATTGTTTTGAAAATGCATGAGAACTTTTAAAGTAATCATCCCTTTAAAGAAGATGCAAAAGACTAAAGGACTTTATCACACCAGTCTGCTGTCTTGTTGTAATTGCCTTAATTAAGCAAACAGAAACATGTGGTTTTTGGAACAATCTCTTTCAGACCTGAATGCAATTGCACAATGATAACAATGACACTTTTATGCTGTCATAATTGTGCTTTAGCGCCTTGTGTGATAAAGTCTTAAGACCAGAATCCAATTGATTCAAACTTATTCAAAAATTGCAGTTATCTTTTTCCAGAGAAGAGGAAATCTCATTTTCTGGGCTTCTTCTTCTAGGAAAGGTCTTTTCCCCCCAAATGTTTTGGTAATTATTAACTGAATGATGAACTAGGCAATAAAAACAAAAGATGTACTAAATTCCAAATTATTTTTAAACTAACAAAAAGATTCATATTATTACCTGTTTAGGTGTGAGAGTTATCACCAGACAGACTTTCTGAATCAATATCTGCTTTGCTTTCAGGCACAGGTTGACTCCAGTTGTCCATACAGTCTGAAGCATCATCGTTGTCATTGTCATTGTCTATGGCTGCTTTGATAAAACTCAGATTGCCAGCATCTGGGTTTTCATCATTGTCTTGACTGTTTTGATCACTGCATTCTGATCTCACCATGCCTTCAGCCTTTTGTTCTTCCAGCTTCTCATGCTCCTCCTCAGGCTGCTGAACTGCATCAATTTCTTTCTTCTCGCTCTCAGTGGATATTGGCTCCTCTGGCTTGTCATAGCCATCAATTACACTTTGTTGTTGGTATTGATCCAACCATTTTAATTTGCCAGTTCGTAGAAGGCCCCTATTCTCCTTGAACCAGCGAACTATTTCAGTCCTAGTGAGTCCCGTTTGAGCTGCCAACTCATCATAGTCCTGTGGAGATGGCCACTGAGTTACTGCAAACATGCTCTTCAGTAAGTGGGACTGCTGCTGGCTGCTTGTGGCAAATGCAGGGCACCTGCATGGAGATGTTGAGTCCTTGGAGATGTTAGACTTTTCTGTTTGAGTTAGTGCTCCATTGGAATCACCTTGATCTTTATTCTTTATGCTTGATCCCATTGAGTCCAAGACAGCTTGCTCCATGTTATCTCTGAGCTTTCTTCGCTCATTGAACCAGGTTTCAACCTCTCGTCTACTCATCTTGGCTTCACTCCTGAGTCTTTCCAACTCACTCTGTGTTGGAAAAGAGCTTTTAAGGAAACTTTCCTCCAGGATCCTAAATTGTTCTGGGCTTTTTCCTTTGAACTTGTGGAAAGCGAAGTCTGAGTATAGACTGTAGGGACGTCCCTGCTTTGCAGCAGCAAGAGCTATCTGATCCATGGGTATAGATTCACTTGAGATGTTGACAATTCCTTTTTGACTCCGGTACCGGTAATCACTGAACCACTTCTTGATCTCACTTCTTGAGAGACCTGTGATTTCTATCAGCCTGTAAACTTCAGAACTGTCAGGAAACTGGTTAATGAGGAAACTAGTCTTCAGGGCTGCTATCTGCTCCTTAGTCTTCTTGCGGTCACTTGATGGTATAGACGCTACAGGAGACAATGGTGCTGTGGTTGTGCTTGTCGGAGCAGCAGGGGTGTTCTGTTTCGACAAGCCTTCTGAAGGGGCAACATGTGGACGCTTGGCTTCTGGAACAGCTGACTGGTTCTGTGTGCTCCGTTTCTGCCTGTGATTGGCGGCAACAGCCAGAGTAACTGGGGAAGCATTTGAGCCATTTGACAACTGTGTCAAAACCAGGCCAGTCTGACTGAGTATCTGACAAGGCATCGCTGTTTGGATGAGTGGCTGTGACATCTTGGCAGGAGTGACGTGAGCTGGCAGAACAGTGATGGTTTGAGGTGCTGCCTGGATGGTGCCGTTGAACATCTTCTTTCTTGCCTCTTCAACCTCTTCTGGAGACCAGCTGATGCCATGCTTCAAACGTTGGATAGCGAACCAAATTCGGATCTGCTCCTCTGGGTGTTTGGATGCTGCCGTCAACCATGACAACTCGGCCTGTGTTGGGTAGGGAAATTTGTTGAAGGAATTGATCATAGTTGCATTAGTGTCCAGTGCAGAATTGTATTTGGTAATGTTCATTGGTACAGGGACTTTAGGAACAAGGTTGATATTTGGTGGGAGCTGTACAGAGGGCATCACGTGAGCCAGGATGTCCTGGAGAAGCTCTGCTCCTTTAATACAAGTGATAGGCTCAGCAGGATGAATCCCATCCCGATAGCTGTCTATAGAAACTTTCTTTGCCTCACTTTTAGGCTTCCCAGCACTAATCATTGGTATTGCTTTGTTCATACCACTTGTCCCAAAATGAGCTACTTCAAATTCAGGAGGCTCAACTGCAAGTGAGCTGTGTGTTACCTCAATGGACTGCTCTAGGATAGTTTGATCGTTGAGCTTGATCAATTTCAGCTTGAAGTTGTTTTCCCCTGGGTGGAGTTTTGTGTTGTGCTCAGATAATAAATCATACTTTTTGGTCGTAAAGTTACATTCGGCGCATACATAGAGAGGGTTCAGGATCACATTGGGGTGTTGCGTATCTATGTGCTCTGTGAAGTCGCTCAGGTTTTGAGTGGAGTAGGGGCAGTACTTACATTCATAACCACCAAGAGATTTCTTGGAAGGATTGGCTGGGGAAGATTTCCCTTCAATTACTTCACAGTCATTTTCGGAGTTCTCCTTACCAGCTGCCAAATCATCTCCCACGTCTTTCTCTGGAGCTGCATTTGCTGCATCACTGTCCTCAGAAACTCCCTGCCCTGTGGCTTCAGGTGCTCGTACCATACAAGGAGTGGTTGACTTTCTTTTGCTAGCCATGGTAGCGGAGTAATTTTTCTAAGTAACAGCAATGTCTTCTCTTGAAAAAAAAACCCCTGAAAAGATGTTCTCTGTGATGTTTCAGCTCTTCCTGTATGGATGAAGCCCAGATATATCCTATAGAATTCCGATGTCAGCCATGGCCTTCAATACCAACCATCACACAAACGGGACTAAATAACACCTAAAAACAAGATATATAATATTAATGTATGTCCATATCTTCCTAAAGTATGACCATCCCCAAACATCCCTTTAGCTTTATTGATAGACACTAAACACTAGCTCTTTCCATGCTACCCTTTATCTAAGAATTAACTCTGCTGTACTTGTTGCTTCATCCCTGTGTTAAGAAAAAGGTGGTTTGTACAGTACGGAATAAGAGAATTTGGAAGGAAAAGTATTTGAAAAGGCCATGTCTGTCTGGAGAAGCAAAGCAGTTATTTTGAACAGGTTTTATCTGAATTGTCAGTTTGTTTGGTTGCATGCTGCAAGCTGCTTCTGGTGTGAGTCATTCAGCCGTCTAGAAAGACATTGCCCAGGGGATGCCTGGATGTGTTCTGATCCTGCAGGGAGGCTTCTCTCATGCCACATTATCACAGGATGTCTACGCCCCAAACCACTGGAGAATTATACTGTTTAGCTGGCATTGCACCACCTGATATCTGCCAGGAAGTAGCAGCCAATAATGAAAGGACCAAGGCAGTGACATCTCCAGCCTATCCCATGTTCGGATATACCCCTGAGTCTATGTGAGAAAAGCAATAAATCATACACACACACACACACACGAGCGCGCGCGTGCGCGCGCAAACAAATGAAAGGTTTTCATTATATATGTCGTGTCCCCATACATTTCATTATTGCAATTTATGTGTGCATCTGTATTTCTCATAAGGAGTTGGATTAACCACAGCTACTAGTAAAACTGAATTACTGTATCACAAAATGATGTATGTCTAAAAAGTGTGTCACCAACATTAAATATTTGGAAACCTCTGTTCTATTAGCATCAATGTGAACTGAACCACCTAAACTAGGCTCTACAGGCCAATGGATACTCCACCAAAGAAATAAGAAGAAGAGCTGCAAGGCCAAGAACAAACCATGAGAGTCAAGACAAAGATCCACCCAGAGGGATAGTGTTCTTACCATACATTAAGGGAACCACATAGGGAAGCGGATGAAGATACACAATCTATAAACGATCTACAGACACACTAAGAAAATCCAACATATGCTATGTTCAGCAAAGGACAAGAGGGATCCTCTCACTTCTGCAGAAGTCTACCATATTCCATGCAACTGTGGACAAGTCGACATAGGGACCATCAAACACAGCAATGCCTGAATCAAGAAACATGAAAGGCACTGCAGACTACTTCAACCAGAGAAGTCAGCCATAGCAGAGCACTTGATGAACCAACCTGGACACAGCATATTATTTGAGAACACAGAAATGCTCAACCACTTTAACCACCATGTCAGACTACTCAGAGAAGACACTGAAATCCATAATCATGTGGACAATTTCAACAGCAAGGAGGAAACATGAAAATGAACAAAATCTTGCTACCAGTATTTAAAAAATCTAAAATCTGGATAGTAAATAAAGAGTAGCACTCAGAAAATGGGAACTCCAGACATGAAACAATCAGGGCCAGTTAACACCACCCAACAAATGATCCTCCCAGGCAGCAACCAGCCAGGCTTTGTGTCTGCAAGGCCATTAAATGCTAATCAAAGTAGCCAACTGCAACAGTCATATTTGCCCCAAGCAGACAAGAATTCTTTCTCCCACCCTGGACATTCCAGATATATAAACTTCACTTGCCTAGTTTCTAACAGATCTCACAATCTCTGAGGATGCCTGCCATAGATGCAGGTGAAATGTCAGGAGAGAATGCTTCTGGAACATGGCCATACAGCCCAGAAAACTCACAGCAACCTGATGTCCCCTTGGTTTCTAACCATGAAGACAGAACATCTCTCATATTGCACCTTCCGATGAAAATCAACATTTTTATAGAGTGATTATCTGCTTGGGTGTTTAAAAACAAAGCATCCAATTTCCCCCCATTTTCTCATCCTGACTTTTATCTGAGGTGACCTCCAGCTAGTAAAAGGAGGAGATAAAATGCACAGAGGTCCTTTATGGCTTCTGGAGATGCTCTCTGCCCTCCATCTGTCTGCCAGTCATCTGCTGTTGTTGTCATGGGCAGAAAAGCTATCCTTGTGCTTTTGACCCCTTCGCACTTGACCTCTTTGCAGCAAATGTCAATTGCAGTCGCTGGATGGACACTTTGATGCTCACAATGTCATGCTCTGGGAGACTTCCTCTTGCATTTCATTAGGACCCGAGACACATCAAGATGGAAGAAAGTGCTCCATTCAACCCGCCCTGGAGCCTTCTCTCACTTCTCATAACCTAATGTCAAATCTCAGAAGAGGCGCATCTTATGGTTGGAGAGAGGCTGCCACATCTAATCCCAGCACTCGCTTCATGTGAAGATCACTGCTGTCTATTTCATTTGCAGTTTTCAAACGGCAAGGCATCGAAGTCTGTAAATGGCAGCAGCGGTTTCAAGGTGTCACCCCACAAAGCTGTTGACAGATTTGCCCAGGGGACAAGGAAAATCTACAGACCACACAGAGAAGCCATTGAAATCCACAAGCATGTGGACAATTTCAACAGAAAGGAAGAGACCGTGAAAATGAACAAAATCTGGCTACCAGTATTAAAAAACTGCAAAATCATAAAAGAAAATAAAGAACAACACTCAAAAACAGAGGAATCCTAGACAAGGAAAAATCAAGGCCAGCTAATCACCTTCCAAGAAAGGATTCCCCCAGGCAGTAAGAAACCAGACCTCAAAACTGCTAAGCCATTCAATGCTAATCAAGGTGGCCAATTGAAACATTCACATCTACCTCAAATAGACAAGAGTTCTTTCTCCCATCCTGGACATTCCACAGAGATATAAACCCCATTTTCCTAGTTTCCAACAGACCTCACAACCTCTGAGGATGCCTGCTATAGATGCAGATGAAACATCAGGAGAGAATGCTTCTGGAACATAGCCATACAGCCCGGAAAACTCACAACAATCTGGACAGGACTTCCTTCCTATGTTGCACATTTCTAAAGGAGGATTGCACTGCTGACTTTGAGTAGCATCAGCTGTCACACACATCATTCAGGATTTTCTGCAAACAAAGTCTACAGGACAAGAGATCCCATATAAATATCAGGAAGAAGTTTCTCATATCCAATAGTGGAATATACTGCCTTGCTACATGATGGAGACCCCTTCTTTGGAGATTTTAAACAGAGGCTGGATGGCCATCTATAAGGAGTGCTTTGATTGAGTGTCCTTGCATTATAGAATGGAGATGGGCTGGATGGCTGTTGGAGGCATCTTCAGATTCTGGACTGGGAATTACACATTCCTCCAGATATTGTTGGACTGCAGCTCCCTGCCTTCATTACACTATGTAATAAAATTTGAAAAATTTCCTGTTCCTGGTTTGAAAGTGTTATTTCCTGTTTAATTGGGCAGTACATACTTTGAAAGTCATTGTTATGCTCCAGAAACTTTGTTTTTCTGGCTGCCACTAACTAAATTGGTTGAGACTATAGCAAAATGTGCTGCAGGATGTCCCACAAAAACAAAGTTTTGGCAGTTTAATAACTTTTTCACATGTTTTTTATGATCAAACCAATTAGGAAATGATATTTATAACCCAGGAACAAAAATCGTGTCACATAGTTTTATTGTCTCTTTTGGCTAGGACAAATTGGAGCTGCATGATTTCACTATTCCCTGGGCTTTTTTAGGCCTTGGAAATTACTTTCCCCCCAAAAGGAATAAACTTGAATTAATTTTCTGTTTACTTTCTGGATGAAGGAAGAGAAGGGAACACCAAGGTGGGTGACTTATGCTTCTGGACTGACCCTCCAATCATCCACTATCACTGGCTGCTGCCTGGCATTTATAGGAGCCCATATGTTCCTTATTCCTAAAGTATAGTCACATATTGTCCATCAATCTCAATGACATGCTGATTAATCATACTTTTTGGCTGCCTTTAAAATGTCCCAAGTTTCTCTCTCTTCCTCCTCCTTTGTCCTCAGCTTCCTCCAAGTCCTACAAACTCAGCTGAAAGTGCAAAAATAGTCTGCATTCAGCCAACTCAACTAGGAAACAGTGGGCAGAGACTTGCCCTTCCCTGTAGGTTTAGGCAAAAGCAAACTTGTGTGTCATTTCTCATTTATTTCTTTTGCCCGCACTCTGACATTGCTTGACATGTCCTAGTTTGAGGATTAATAATCGTTTACATGAGGAAGCAGTAGGGGAAATTAGTAGGATTTGAAGAATAGTAGATTTGAGTATTATGTAGAAGTTATAAGTAAAATATGTTGATACTTATAACTTAAGTTGTCAACTGTCTTTTCCCTTATTATTTTTGAATTGTATAGGTGTCTTGTATAGTTTTGTGAGGTAGTTTTTTAGTTATAGTTGTAGCGCACATCTAGTATGAGGAAGGTTGGTAGTTTTTCTCTATATGTCTTATAGGGGCCGTGGTAGCTCAGCTGATTAAACAGCAAGCTGCAGAAAGCCTTGCTGACTAGAAGGTTGGCAGTTCAAAGTCACAGGTCAGGGTGAGCTCCCGCTGTCAGCCCTAGCTTCTGTCTACCTAGCAGTTTGAAAGCATGTAATGTGATTACTACTTTGGTGGGAAGGTAAAAGGCACCATCCAGACATTGCAGCAAAACATGGCTAGGAGGGACTACGGACAATAGGCTTCTTGGCATGGGAAATGGAACAAGAGCACCTCCCCATGGCCAGAGTTGAGCATTGCCTCCAGACACCGGAGATGAAAAAGGAAATCTTTGCCTTTGTTGTGTATTGTATGTCATTGTTCACTGTATAAAAAGCTTTGAATGTTTGCCTATATATGTGTATACTGTAATCTGCTCTGAGTCCCCTCGGGGAGACAGAGCAGAATATAAATAGAGTGTATTATTAAGTAGTAGAGGTAAAGGTTTCTCCTGAC